CGCATTTTCGATGCCTGGTGAAAACGAGAAAATGAAAACCATTGAAAGCAGGAATTCCTGGCGTGTCACCTACGATGCGACAAACTACATACTCCCAACTCATATCGAGACACCGCGCTCCACGAAGCCTCAGCGGTTTGGATATGCCCCCACTCCCGATGGGTGAGGCCTATGGCCTTATACTGTGTGGCCCAAGGACCAAGGGCTTCCCTCATTCCGTCAGCGGAGGTGGAAGTGTTTTACCTCAAAGTAACCTCCGAAAAAAGCCATCGTTGACATTCGTAAGATGATAGTAGATTTTTCCGAAGGCTGAGTGTCGGATACGTGATGATGTGATGATAAGGGGAAGTATTCCGACAGCTCGCCCTCCCCGGGGGACTTCACCGAGTTATGAAAGTAAAGAAAACGATTCCTCAGTCGAGGGTGTCGAAGGTAATTAAAGATGACGACCTCCGTCTGCTTCGGAGGAGTATGATGCATTTATGACGGAAGTCAGACAAATGTTTGCAGATGTCCGATCCAAGACTCTGATCCTTGGGGATCTCCAAGATCCCCATGCTTCCGTTCCCACGGTCCGCCGGACTCGGATTCCTTCCGTTTTTTCTACGATGAGTCCCGAATTCGACGATCCGTCACGGTCTTCCGGTGTCGCTTTCTAATCAAGGAGGACATGTTGAATTTTCCACAATAAATTCTATTGGAAAAAAAACGCGAGCAGCGGTTCCGTCATTTCATGAGAAACAAGAATAATATACTCAGCGATTCTACGCTCGCTAGTTCGAAATTCTCAGCTTTTTCCAATATTCATGTCAGCGCAACAGCCAGATCCCTTAGAGGTCCCCCCATAATCATCGACGCGGAGCCGCGATCACAAACTTGAAGGAAAGACGAGCGAATATCGGGGAATCGAGTTCCTGTCAAATGGCTCGACGATTTGTTCCGTGATCCCTGCATATAAATCCGTTCGATGTTGTCTTCATGCTCGAGCCGCAGTGCAAGATGAGCTCGCGGCAGCTAAATTGAGACGGAGCGATCGACAAAATGATGAAGCGCCTAACGAGCGGAGCAGCAGAGTAAGCATCGAAGCAATGCGTCGCGTCAGAACGCACGCCTCCGCGGCCGCTATCGAGCTGTGCAACATGGTTATCTCAATATTGAATCTATTGATCGTGGAGGAAAAACTAAAGAGGAGAACCTCCGAGCTCAGGCCTGGAGGTTCAGGTGCAATGGCGGACGCATGAACATAAGCTCGAAGACGCAGCAGAGACACCCCTCCTTCGGTGAAGGCGGTGAGGTCCAAGACGCTCGCATCATTAGGGTGCCTCGAAGCTGTGTGGTGGCTTCCGAACATGAGCCCGTCTCCTGTCAGAACAATGGAGCGACCCCAGCGCGGCCTGAACGTCACAATACCTCTATTGGTCGTAGAATAGGATCGATCTTTCTCGTTACTCACTGATTGGGTTCAGACTCGACGCACGAAGGTGAGGTGGCGAGACCTTCCGGCTTAGCTGCGCAGTTCTGATCTCTCTCAGGATTCCGAAAATCGTAGGATTCGTACAGGAATAGCTCCTTCCCCCCTCCCCGCACGTTTGCTACACTCGAATTATCTCCGAGCCGCGGAGTCGTTCCCTAGAAATGAAAAACGAGCGAACTTTCTGAGCAGGAAAGTTTCGTCTGCAGCCCCAAGTCACATTAAGGAATCGTGCTTCCGCAGTAGGCTTCAGACGAGCCCCGACAGTGATGATCTCCTGGAGCCAGAGTATACCTGACGACTCGTGATTGATGTCTCCTTCACTCCGTACCGCAGCGCGGAGAAGACTTATCTCTGGGCTTCAAGATTCAGGACAATCATCCGGAAGCAAAACGAAGAATCATTGTCCGTCGCGCATGTTCCTCGATCCATCTAGGCGTTCGCGGTGTCGGACGACCCTGAGCGTTCCTGGTGCTGCATCGAATGAAACAACTTTCGCAAGACGGGACGCGCGAGCGGGGCTCCACCTGTGCGGAGTGCTCGCTTCAACCCCTCGCCCCCCCCCCTTCTCTTCGTACAATTGGCGATAGCACACATCTTCAGCTCGTTCGGGGCGGGAACTGGGAATTCACAGCGGGGCGGGAGAGCTATTGATTCTGAGCGACCATCGATACTGGTGACGGGTTAGGGCCCGAATTACGTTGAAGACAACACAGCTTTCGGCTCGTCCTGGATTCACAGCCACAAGCTCCTTTAGGAGACACCGTCAATCAGGGCATTTGAAATCCGCACCGTCCGCATCCGTTGGTCAGTCGAGCTCCGGACCAGAAAACAAGGGAACTTGAGAAGTCGCTCGCCGCTATTGTGCAAGGACGTCCGTGGAGAAGTCGCGCAAACACAAAGCAGATGTGTTTTGCTCGATATTCATTCTCCAGCTTTACAGAAGTGCAACGGCGAGCTCGAAGGCGGCTGCTTCTACCTTGTCCTCATAGGAAACAATAGGAGAAGACGATACTTACAAATAGCAAAGTTCGCAAACAGGACTCTCAATCCTCATGTCCTTGCCCTGTTCTCCTCTTCATGCTACTTGCTTTTCGATGTCAAGTGTCAAAACATTGCTAGAGCCCCGACAAGGGGCCGATTCAGCGAATAAGCGTCCACTACTTCTTGGTGTCACAAGCCGTCGATCCATGCGAGTAAGCCCTCCAAGACAGCAATCTGACAGTCCTGGTGAGATTTCGGTACCATTCAGGTCGGAGACGCCACACCGGGAATACAGGCATCAGAAATTCGCAACGAAAAACTTCGTGAACGGCAACGACAGCTCCGAGCGATCATCCGCATCGCGTCCTGACGCTCGGGGAAAGATCATAAGCGCTCCTAGTAGTATCTGGCGACTCGAATCACTTCTGACGCGTAGCAAGGAAATCTGACATCCTATCGCGTCGCACGGTCTTGTCACCGCGAGTCCATCTCTAGTTTCACCCCGCAAGGAGCGACCCCGTCGATCGATCCGATTCGACCCGAATGTTCATAAAATCGACGGACGACGTAGCGACTCGAGTTTGATCCACGCGAAATAATCTATAGCCTTGCTCGTGCCTTCGTCTGTTCGAGGTTGCAACTTCGAGCCTCGAGAAGGAATCGCATGCCATCGAACATCAACCGATGAAATGTCTCGTGTATTCCGTGCTCGGTGCACGACCTTCTGCCGCGCGCAATTACGATCGGGAGAGAGATGCTTCTCCCACACAGCCCCCTTGGGTGTCCTTCAGGTGGCGCTTGATAATCTCAGAACGACGACTCCCGAGTCGCGGAAACCCCGAATTTTGCTTCTGGTCGCCGCAATTCAGTAACCCCGCCCCATGATGCCCTTGACGACATCCCGGAATAGGGCTTCTTAAAGCTGGTCTCCGCGGTTTTTCAAATCGACGAAGAGGCCGATCGGAACTATTTGGAATTATAGGAATTGCGACTTGCCCGCTCCTTGAGTCATAGAGGAACTGCGCTACGCGGTATATTCGTTGATTGGAGATTGGTAGGCCACGCTTTGTTTGGTTCACCGGTCAGCTGGGGGAGCTGTGGGGACGACTGATCTCACTCGCATTCGAGAACACCACACCTTCCGGGAGATGATTTTATTCGTCCGCACATATCCTCCCTGTTGAGGATCAAAGCAGAGCCATGTCCTGCGAAGCAATCCCCGGAGCCGAGTTACTAATCAGTGTAGGCCGGCGGCGACTCATTCAGTGTCCGCACGCGGGAAGGGGCGCTCGGCCGCTCGACAAGGAGTTGAGTGCGACACGCTGCCCGACACCTCGAGACCTTCAATGGAATTTCCAGACCGCGTCCTTGGAGCACTGCATTCTGAAGAGTTGCTGAAATTAATTCATCGACCAGGAATCGTGGAGAATTCGATAGAAGACCATCCGAGCTTCCGAAGATTTAAGGACCCCGGAATCGAGGATTTGTGCTCCGGGTAGGAACTGGAGTTTGTCTAATGTGGAATCCAGGCAGATCCAGAACTCAGCACAACTTTCTTTGTTAGGGTTTCCAGGGACTGCGCAGCTCGTCGCGGCTCTCCGAGCGGAGGAGGGGACTCAGGATCCGGAGCACGGGGGAGTTTTTCTCAGAACCGCTTGGCTTCTCCGTCTGGATGTTCCATGGATTATTTCCCCTTATGTCGAGTCAGACATGAGCCCACGAAAGTGTCAGTGAGCAGGGATCAGCAGCGGCTGCCGGTCTAGACCGTCCAAGCGACCGAGTTTCCGAATGACTGAGCCCCTCTGCGGCGCTTCTCGCCGCGACTCATACCAGACGCGAAAACCGATTCCAGGCTTCGCAAAAGACCTAAAACAAACTCTGTCCACCGAAGATTGGGTGTGGGACAGGGCGAGGCGCTTATTATCATCGATTGGTCGCAGTTGGGTTGGAACAACGCCCGCGATCGGGGCCTCGATCGGATCGGGAGAGTCTATTCTAATTTTAGCCGGAGACAAAAAACGTCCGTGAAATGAATTAAAAGTTTAATTGGACTGGCTCGCCGCCAAATGAGAAGACACCGCTGTGCACCCTCCGACCGAGCGGAAAATGTGAAGCTGGACGAGGTTTTCCAGCCGAGTCTCTTCATCACGGCTCCGAACCTGATCATTCGTTCAGCTCGTTTTCCTGCCCGACCACAGAACATATCGCTCAGTGTGTGATCGTGTCGAGGCAGACCGTGAACGCGATTGGCACGCAGAGCGGCACGTCGGAGCGGCACAGATTTGATTTGGTCGGCGGTCGGAGCCCGCTGGAGCACGCACCTCAGAGAAAGTGCGAAACGATAAGGAGACTCTCCATGGATGAAATTTATCCCTTTGATCGCCTCAAAGTCGTAGTCCTCAGCGAATCGGGAAGTTGAAGGGAAGGAAAAAGAAGAAACATCGAAAGGAGATGCGGGGAGCTAAAGCCGGCTCGATGAGAATCCCGTGCTGCCTCACGCCATTCCCGAAATAACTCGTCCAGATCGCGGAAGGAGATGATTCGATCAGCTGCGGAGGAACGACCTGAGCGGCGATAGGGGCAGCACAGTTAGAGCAACCTTTTCCTTGATCTCGATACGCAGATTGACGAAGTCCTCGTTATCGAAAAGCAGAAAATCGTTGAGCTTGAGCAGAACGTCGCCCATGTAGATCCTGTTCCAAAGGGCGAGCTTCCGATCCTCGACAGGCTCAGCGCTTTCAAGCTCATTTTCGACGGTTCCTGTCGACGATTTTTCCGACTCAGTCGTCGAGTTCGTGTGAGCTGAGTGCAAAATCTCACTCGATCCTGCGGAGAGAGAGAATCCGGATTCCGTGGTATTAAATCCGAACTCCTCACTTACCCCGGTCTTTGAATGTTTTCCATAATTCTTTCCGGATCATCTCGATCTGGTCGATTTTGTCCATTCTCCCGACGACGTTCAGATGAAACACGTGCCTCACAATTTCCGCTCGGAAAAACCGCTCTGGCCCGTCACGTTCAGCCACCTTCGCGAGAGGACAAGATCTCTGATTATCAATTTGTGGAATAAATTCCGTCCGCGGATCGACGTAATCAAGTGAATTCATCCCCTCGTTTACTTAGGAAAGAGCTGAAGGATCAAGGAGGAGCTCGCTCAATTATGCCCCCTAATAGCCCAATTAGTGGTCGCAGACCTCAAACGACAAAACGTACTCAAGCCGGAAGACCTTCACCCGAACGCCTCCGGAGCTTGTCGGAGAGCCGAATGCAACTTGAAATGGGCTCATGGGCTCCTAGACTCGTTGTGGCACTTACCTTAAATGTTTCAAAACCATAGCTCGGCCATTCACAGTTGTGACGCTTCGTCATTTCAACCACGACCACAATCGGGTTACATTTGCGTAACGTTTCCAGACAGAGACTGCGGAGGCGACTGTTTTGTAAGTACCGGAAGCCACGGGGTTCGTTGAACGCTTGTTGAAGAGCGTGCTGCTGCTGCTGCTGCATCATTATCGTCGTCTCGAGGAAGCTTAGCAAAATTTATGCGCATATTATGTGACCTCAAGGAGACACTCGAGAACAACGGGGCTCCTCGTTGGTCGCTGTGTTCGTTGTTCCGAGTCGAGGGTCGAGTTAGTCGTTGTCGTTACCGACGTTGTTGTCGTCACAGCTGCCGCACATGTCGATAGCCGGATGACGTTGCCTTGTACAGCCCATGCAGTAACAAGAGCCCACGAACGTCGACGACGCACCCACAGACACTGACGCGACGATCCGACAGGGGGGATTTTTTATTGCGACCCAGATATTTGTCGCTGCTTCACCAATTGCGACCCCTTCCGATCCGGCATTTGATGGTGCGGCGAGAACGACGCTCGCCCGAATCTTACCACCTTATTATGACTCCATTGCTCCGAGAGGAAGTTGCTGAGCGAGGGCCCCACTCAGGTCACCGCTTCTGCCGACGCGCGCGATGGAGAATTGTTTCCATCACGTACTTGGACTAGTATCGAGGGGAGCGAGGGACTACGGCCACTCTCTCAAACTTCAAAACGGCTAGTCCTCGCTCAGTGGCCCCCCTCTCCAACCCCGGTCGAGACGGTTTTCCCACGAAATTAGTAACGGAACTCACTTTCGGAATCTGAACGGCTCTTTTTCTCCCATTGTATAGAGGTTTGGTCTAAGTAACGTCAGTCGGCAAGACGTGCCGGTCATTCTAATCATCTGCTTAACTGTCTTGGGGCGCTCTCCTATGGTGATGCTCCTCTCGACTCCCAGGATGATGTCCCATCGTTCTAACGTCACCTGAATTTTAGATAGACACACTTAGCAGATGCCAATGGTGTCTTTGGGACCGGAATACCAAACATGGTAATACGTGCGTGACGCCTGGATATTCAATTGCATGATCGAGTGCGGGGAAATTCCCCGTAATTTGCACATCTTATCGGAATTTCAGCCCACCGTCTTCTTATTAACCGGACTGTCCTTCTTTATGACCTTCACGACTTGGTACGGAATCCTCTCCGGACCGATCTCCATTTCGATATCGAATTTCCATGGCTCGGGGACGCCGTACTTCTTCTCTCGAGAGATAACTACCCTCGTGATTTCCTCGTAGGATGTCATCGAAAGGCTCGTACGTTGATCGAAAGCGGCCCACCGTGGCGTATGCGGTTGAGGTTGAGACAAAATTCACGTCTCTCTCGGTGAAACGCCTGGCGCCGTAACTTCGTTATCACTCGTTAGAGCTGCAGGGACATCGATGCCGCCATTTAGCTGCGGCGATCGTTGGATAATTCGCAGGGCTGGAAAGTTCGAAGTCGGAGGGAACAACACTTCGAGATCGGGAGATCACCGGGCTCTACAGGCACCGGTCTCTCGGCTCGCTCAGAATTTCTCCGGAACGTCTCCTGATCCTGATATCGAGGGGGATGGATGCAAGGACCGGTCGACGCTCCCTGTGATGAGAACTGTTCCTGCAATAGCTATCGCCCTCACAGACCAAGACTCTCAGTCGGAAGCTGGGGAGCTTTTCATGGTACAACGGGCGAGCTCCTGCGTCGTCACACATATATGCTCCGTGTTTGTCACGGCGATAATTTTCTTCGAGAATCATACGATTCCCCGTCTCAGCCTCACCGACAGGCTGTGATTTATTCGGATTGGTCGGAAAACTTGAGATGTCCGACAGGGCTTGGAAGCGTCCGGAGTCCAGACACGAAGTGAGGCTTGACGAAAACTTTCCGCTGTCTTCGGTCTTACTCGGAACATGCAACCGCAAGATGTTCGCCTTACACAGGCTTCGTCACATGGGATTCCTCATACGGGAAGCGAACTCCAGCGCGAGCTCTCTCATACGCGCGCACTGTTGAACCCCATGCCGGCAAGGCGTCGACACCCACTGAGGATGCTTCTTCTCCCGACGATGTTGACTTCCCGATCTTACGATAGCGGGAGCGAGGCATGAGTCTATCTGACCTTTCCAAAGCGAAAACAATACATGGCGCCCCATCGTACTGTCGTTAGTAGACGCGCGCTTCTTCTGCTCGCACACGACATATGGTGTTGCCGTCAGCGTTCTGTCCCATAACATGTGAGCACACAACGGATAGCGGTGCTCAGCCGGAACGAGGCTGGGAAACATTGTTCGAATCTGATGCACTCGTCCGATGTCGACTCCCCCTCGTGCTGACGCTTGTTCCATCGATATCGGTTCGACTATCGCTAGTTCTGCGATTTGGCCCCTGAGATTTACAGTCTCCCCCCCCCCCTCCTTTGTTTGCGTACGCTAGCATCGGCTTCTCTCGAGAACGCGAACACAGATTCGTTTTCAACTGTGTAAATAAGCCATCTCCGGAACAACGTTCCGCGCTCCCGGGTCTTGTTGAAGCGACTGCAAGTTCGATGCCGCGCATACTGCGACTCGTTCCGAGCATTGCTTGACAACCGTCCATCCGAACCCGTGAACGAGGAAAAGATCCTCGACGGCTGGCTAGAATCCGTGGTCGAGTCCATTCCCTGTCAGGCGAGTGATTGCGTGGGTATGCGCAGCCTTCCGATGGACAGTACACTCGTAATCTAGTTTGATGAGCGTGAATTCGTTTCCATTGACCCCGTGTAGAGGCGTACTGCGGCTCCCGATCCCTATCGGAGAATTCTGCGGTGCGTACACACCAACGACTTCGTGAAACGGGGATCCGCGTTCTCGTTCGATTAAGGCTAAGTCTGTCGGATTCCATGGAGTCACGTCGCTCGGAAAACCGTCTACAATCAGCGACGGTCATTGACGGGATGGAAGAAAATGATGCGGACTGGAGGAGAGGCAAATTTTTGACGGAACCCTGAGATAGTGTATGGACCATCACCCGTCCGGATCGGGGCCAACTCTCATCGATCGTCGAACTATAGGTTCATACGGAGCATGGCATCTATCTATGGCTACTACCTGATCCCCTCAACTAAGCGTTCTGGTTAGAACCTCAGCCTCTATGCACTCAGGATCGAGAGTGATAGCACCTTGAACTAATCGGCGGGAGCTTCGGAAGCCTCGGTTCCTCAATTTCCCGAGATTCGATGTCTCAATCCCTCCCACGATAGCGAGTTTGCGGAATCTCTTCGTAGCAGGAATCGCGTCCCGAACCAATCGAGGGCCAATCGGAATCCCGACTCTGCGCGCTGAGCTATTTCTTTGCACGGCTTGCCGCAATACCAGAGCGAACTCTTCTCCGGATCCGCCAGTTTTCCGCTCGCCACCCGCGATGTTTCTCGAGAAGCAAAATCAGGAGTTGCCCCTCATTCACACTTTCCGAATGCTCTGAGAAATTGTGATCATTGCGACCATTGGCTGGTGGCCTCCATCAGGCTAGAGTTGAATTAGTTGATCTCTCATTAGTTTGGCACTTGAACCATAAGCTGGAAACGTAGAGTGAGGTCGAATTTGACCTCTTTTAGAGATAAAGGTTTCTCGTCCTTGATTATCTTGTCCTGATTACCTTACGTTTCGCATCGGCCGCAATCGAGCTCGGAACTACGAGTGGGTCCGACTCGTTAGAGGTCTCTCACCCGCAGCCACCACCGGAGCAACTAACCTGATTTACTACGGTAGTCCATGCGGTCATAGGCAAACAGCGGGACCATTCTATGAGAGGCCAAGAGCAAGGATCGCGAAGACGGCGACGCAGCCCGAGCACCCCAGACCCCTGAGGAATCCCATTCCATCTTCGAAGCCAGATCACGGCAACTCGCTAGCATAGGACTCTTTCATCTCATCTCTGAATAAAATCCTACCACAGATTCGCCGAGTTTCACGTGGGCGTCGTCTTGCTCAGAATCCTCGAGCTTCGGGAGAAGCTCGGTGCTCGACCTCCAAGGGAGAAGGGCATTCCGTAGAAAGGCAGGAATTCCGGGAAGAAATTCCACCCATCAAATATCGTACACTACGACAGACGCGTTCGGTCAAGAGGGACGATTCCGAATCCTCTGGAGTCGGAAGAGGCTTCTCCCGTCTGAACTTTCGATGATTCAGGTACAGCACAGCTCTGCTCTCATAGCAGCGGACTTTCGATGCGATCTCCGGAACTCTTTGAAGACGGCACGCTTCTACGGAAATTAGCGAATTTCGGCGCAAGGGTTGAGCGAATGGCGACGCGAGGTCGACGCAACAGCTGCGCCGTCTCCTCGAGTTCCAGAGCTTATCGGAAGCTCCAGAACTCATGGAAATCCTTCCCGAGACCACGGGAAAAAGACTCGACTCGAAATCGTGAAGCGGTTTAGGGATTTGTTCTCGTATTCCTACTCCGGTCGGAAGGATGATGAAGCTGAAAGCGCATCTTCCCGTAAAGGACCCTCCGTCCGCCTGCTCTCCCGGCTCGATCGCACCCAGAGGCCCTCCCTACTTGGAAGATATCCGAATTGCTCAGTGAATACTGAAGTCGAGCAATCGATGTCTGAGAGTCGATGCGAGAGAAGAGAACAGCGATGGAGAGGGGAAGGAGTTCAGCTGCGTTGGTAGGACAGTCTGCGCCCGCCTTTGGAGTCGACGATGGCAGATGATTACGAATCATCGGGCGGCCGGCGATGAACCTCAACCTCGGGCATTTCTGGGCGGGATCCGACTCTCGCGAGAATCGTAGAAATAAGCCCCGGACCGACGCCTGTCGGAATACCGCGGCGCTCTCCGAGCAACGGACCTCCACTGGCCTCTTGCGAACTCGCCGTCCAATTGAGCCTTGAATGCATGGGATGAAGGGCACGAATAGCGAAGACCGTCATTGCGACGACAATCGAGCAAATTAAATCGATCCTTTGTGCCTGCCGACGTGGACGTCCACAGACGGCAGCGGCTGTTTTCTATCGGAACGATCAAAAGAGACGCTCGAATTTCAGCTATTGTACATTCCAGCCACTGGTCGGTCACTGGCCTTAGAGCCAACGATCCTTATCCTGGCATTTCTCGAATTCAAAGCTCTCCGGCGTCCTGAATCCTGAGCCATACATCGGGTCGATCATCACTACTCTATCCCGAGCCTCTTGTCCTGCGTCCCCGATCGGGACAATCCATTATTCGCCCGATCGAGGAGAAGAACAAGAAGCGCACTAGAGAAGAACAGAGAGAGAGCACACGGATGCGGTAGGCGTAAACTCTCGCTAATGTCAATTTACATACCGCCGTCGGGGTAAGACGGGCGCCCGGTGGATGGGCAAAGTACATAAGAACATACGCAGCAAACGGCTCCGTCTTGTACGGTATGTGATGTTCCGAGGAACGTCTCCCTTCAACATTACTTCAGAAAACAGAGACGTTCAAGGACAGGATCAACGTTGCGTTTGCTTTGGTGTTTCCGAGCAGACGAGCGTGTTCGTCTCCAGGATGAACTACGCAAACATCAGGAAACGTCACCGAGCTTCGCAACGATGGGAGAACACGCTTCCAATGATTTTCCATCGAGACTCTAACCACGGTTCACACGGCTGCCAATTGCGCTGCGCGATCTACCAGTTTCTGAGGTCCCCGAACCTGATTGGCTCAATGAAAGAAGAATCGCGAGAAGAATCGTCATCCAGCGCTGGATCTGTAAACGAGTCGGGATCAATTGACGCCGGAGCACATGGGTCCGATCGTCCCACCTCGGGGATTACGATCGGTAAAAACTACACCGCCCACGTCGAAAATAGCGCTGCGTACTGGTGAGCATCGAGAGCGAATCGGAGCTTCGGATTCGGGCGTATTAGTTCGTTCAAGCAGCCGACCGTTCGAATGTGGCCCGACGGGAGACGAGCGAAGGCTAATCATTCTTCCACACTCGATCTACTCGATCGAGCGAGCGAGCAGTCGGTCGTACACAATGTACGCATCGCAAACGATTCCCACGGGTGTTATAAGAATAGCTATGTCTCAATAGAGTCAACCGCATCTTTAGGCGAAGCTTCGTAAAACTTTCGCATCATGCACGACGTCGCGCCGTCCGTATGAGCGATCACAGACTGTCGATGATAGTCGCTCCGGCAACTGGATATATCTCTGTCGCTAGCGGCAGTATGTCACTTTATGGAATACCATTCGTACCCTGAGAGGCGGACCGGGGCCAATGCCAAGACTGCGCGGAACACCGCGCTCCTCGACATCCCTCCGGCCTCACGAACTCCGCCGCGGAAGGGATGAAAAAAATAGCTGGGAGGAAAGACGAGCGTCGCGCCGTGTAGCGCTCGAGTATTCATTGCCCTCTTTGTTCAGGAAACATCCTGTGACCTTCCCCGGGAGAGAATACTCAGCTAAGATGCATCAAACTACGAGGATATCGGCCGATACCCCCGAGAGCCGCGACGTCACTGCTCCACCCACATCGCGTACTCGATGTGTCCTGATCCGCTTTCGCAATCTATCCGATCGTTTCCTCGAATTTTCCCCGGAAGTGATCGGGCCATGACATACGTTTGTCATCGTTATACTCAGCTTCTCGCGGTTGAAGGAATTAGAATTCTGCTTGGATGATGGACACGATTCTTCGGGGATGAATGATTTCTTCATGAGGACGACCTGGAACGCTTGGGCACAGTGGAGCCCTCCCGAGTAGGTGACCTGAGCCTCTCGATCCTCTTCAGTCAGCTCGGAGCCTCTCCCACTGCAGCAAAGTACATTCCGCGCTCGTGTCCCGATTGAGAATCCGAGTACGGAATCTTCGCCTTCCGCCTTAATCGCGACCGAAAAGTCAACGTTACGAAGGGGAATATTCGCGAGGACAGAGAATGTTATTTTTTTCCTCGGAAAAGAAACGATTGAGGATGTTCGGCTGAGCATTCAATCTTTCGCTTGGACGTCTCGTTGAAAGCCCTCGGGCTGCTGCGCCGAGGGTGAGACCTTGTTCTCGAGTCCGGCTTCAGGAGTCAGAGCTTTCAAATTTTATTCTATTCTCTCCGGTCGGAATCGGACGTAGCTGCATTCCGTCCTCCAGAAGGAGATTCGCTGCTGGAGAATATTCACGAACCGTGCAAACGAGGAAGGAGGATCAATTCCGTACCTTCAGTTCCCACGCTCGACGCAAGGCGACGGAATGGCGTTTATGGATTTTCTGCTGTGAATATCAGACGGGCTGTTGCTACGAGAGCTACCGAATCTTCGCTCGGCTGCTTCGAGGATCAGAAGTTATTCAAAATTCCGGGAGCATCTCCTCTTCCTTCCACTCTGTGAGCGGATGCGAGTAGAGCGCATTGCGAGGACGCCGACATAACTCAAACGTTTTCCCGCACACGGTCTCTCCTCGGCTGGGGCGAGAAGAAAGATGATAGCCGCGCGGCATCGAGGACCTATGGCAAGAATCATCAGTCACCGCAACGCGCAGTCTCTGGACGGGGCGGGAGACCGAATCCGTGGAATAATTCCCTCATCGACAGTCGGCCCGGAGCTTTGGTGCTGAAAGAAGCCGTCCGATGTCGTTTTGGGGAGCTGGATGGAAGTCGGCACGCAGACAGCGACCCAGCCTACCGACCTACAGTCCCTCCGTCCGTCCATCGGATAAACCCCCACGTCATTCATTTGCTCGCCCCCGTACAGTTTGACCGAGCGTGCTGCCGATGAGCACGGTCGCCCCTCGAGCTAAGATCCGTGGCGGTGTTGCTCACCAAGTCGATTCACAGATGGAAGGATTCTCCGTTACCGTCGGGAAAGCTTCAATCGATGATTCCGGACGAATGACCTGAACGAATGACGGGACGACCTCCCCGACGACAACACCACGGAGCGATACAGCGAGGGCAGCGGGAGCGACACCCGATCATGGCGATACGGGCGGTGCAATTTACGGCGACTGACAACGGCGTCGCCTGAAGTCTCCACATGCTCTGTCGTATCTCGTGTGGCGATAGCTCGGCCGAGAGCCAGACAGGAGCGTGGTAATCCGAGCTTTGCTATGCAGTACGTTCTGCTTCGGCTGCACGTCACTCAAACTCGATCTCGAGAAACAAAGGGATGGATGCAAGTCAACAGCAGTTTCTGTGGGCGCGCTAGAGGGTGGCCGGTACATCCAGAGCTCTTCCATCCCGGAGTCTCATGAGAGAATTCTCCATTCAGGAACGACGGCATCAGGTTCGTGAATCGATCGGTGATTCGAATCGAAAGTTCGTCAAATCGTCTCTCCACGAATTTCTACGACGCAGGGAGAGCTGGAGTCAACTCCAGTAGTTTACGCCCCGCGAGAGCGGCCGGCTCCTGTAGTGCCATTACCACAGCGGAGATCTCGGCCGCCGGATCTCACGCTTCGTTGATTCGAGATGCACCGACTGCCGTCAAGCACACGCACGGGGCGCAGCAACATTCCAAGACCCATCTCCTCGGTTCAGGAGTATTTCCTCAGGTTGCCTGAATCGTCCGGTAATTACTACGGATCTCGCTCGCTTCTCTCTGAATGAAGCCGTCTCCGACCTCGAGACTGAAAGAGTGAGGATCGTGCGGCCGGACCGAAGGAACGCGATAAATTCGCTTCATCGTTTCTGAACTACCTTATCTGGTTTTCAGTCTATGGTGTGGCTGTTTTTTTACGGCCGATCTCAGAAGCCCACGGCTCCCGCCACAAATCGATTCCCACCCCGCGAGGGGCGCGCGCGCGCGGGATATCCTCCTTGCTCACCGGTATATTGTATGTTCGCCGTAACTATGGCGACGGAACACCGAGTTAGCAGAGCTAAAACATAGAAGCGTGTCATCTTTGACTCCGGCTCTTCAAAATGGTGAGTATTTCCGTCGTTATCCACTCATGAGATTACCCGTTTCGAGCTGAGGTGCTCATCCCCGATGCCCAAACGATTGAACGCGAAAGGAGGATGAACCTCTCTCATTCAAAGAGGAATGATCCCGACACCCGTCACGCTGGAGACGGGGAACTTCATCGGCTCGACACTCCGGCCGCTGCCCTTAAAATCCGCGCTGATGTTATGATCTGAGCAGCAATCTGATATTTGATGTGTCGATCAATCGCGAGGGTGCCCTCCTCGAAGTCATCGATCGCCGCTCGCCGGATGTATCCGTCGAGAACTACGCGTGTATTAGAAACCCCAAATCGACTATATTTAGAATTCCAGAAGTCGTATCCCATATCAAAGCTCATATCTTCAACTGCGAATTCCGTGGGCGTAGGAGAGCTCGGCAGAGCTGAGCTCAGGGGCGGTGAGGTACAGGGACAGTTGTGCTTGTGTCGGTCGGATAGGCTTCGAAGGCGTCCACCTTCTTCAGAAGTGTGACTGAGTGCACAGCAAAGCTTGCTCGATGAGTGCTCTCTTGAAATGAAAATTCATTGCGAGGATTAGCTCCTTATGGAGAGACCGTCCTGCTGAGTCATCGACGCTGCGTAGAGATCCACTTGCTGTGACTGGAATGAAATCCGGGCCTACGAGGAGAGCGTCGAGTTGCCCATTTTTCCCACGTCTCCGATGGAGACTTGAGAAGAACACCCCATGTGTTAAATTAAACGGATGAAAAACCCTTGAACACTGATTGAGGCTTCTCGTCGGACGCTGTCATGTCTTTCATGACGGAGGCTCGAGGGCCACCAGGATCCGACGGTCGACGACGGAAAAGTACTCGCTGGAGGGCTGGACGACCTCGCGATGTCTCCCCGGTCGGCAGAGTGCCCTGTCTCGATCCGTACAAAACCTCCTCGCGGTCGACGACCTCCACGAGGGGAAGTGCACGCTTTTCCCCGAAATTTGCATTGAATTAAGAGTTTTCCTCTATTCTTCTAGGGACTATTGGCTCTGTTGCGGAAATTGAAACCTTCACCGGACAAAGAGCTCCGAATTCTCCTACTGGGACTCGACAATGCAGGAAAAACGACGATTTTGAAGAAGATCGCCTCCGAAGACATAACACACATAACGCCAACCCAAGTACGGCATGCTGTAGCGTTGTCGATAGAAATCAGGCTATTCCCAGGACGCTTCAGAACGACGTTTACCGAGCAGGCTTCGTTCATAGATCCGCGACAAGGAAGAATCGATTGTCGAGTTCCTCGTCCGACGCGTCCGTGGCTCTGAATCGTTCGACCACTCATTGCGAGTCCGATGAGGGTCGCACAAGTTGATTGCTGGTCGAAAGTCTCAGATTCCTCGACAGACGTTTTCTGTTGTGGGAAAAAAATGAGCTCGATCATCGATTTAGCTCTTGGCGTGCAACTGGCGAACTCGTATGAATAATGCACCGTGTCATCTTTCTCGCCGATTCACTCCTGACCAGTGCGTTGGGCTCCCTCTCGGTACTCGGCTGTCAAGGGAAAAGACATATCACGTTGCACAACCCTGACAGGACATCGGTCCGGATAAACAGATGTCTGAGAGGCGCCAACAAGGCACGAATCAACAATGCTCCCTGAAGATGTGCCCAAATTCAATTTCCTTCGGTAGTAGAGCATCAACAGCTATCGGTTGATATCAAACTGAGGATCCGATGAGCCACAGATAAGCGAGGATCGAGCGAACTCTTCGAGAATCGAGTCGAGACTGACGAGCCTTCTTTTCAGGGTTTCAATATCAAAAGTGTTTCCACGCAAGGATTCAAACTCGTGGTATGGGATATCGGTGGGCAACGTAAAATCCGACCCTATTGGCAGAACTACTTCGACAGCACAGACATTTTGGTGAGACAAACGCAGTAGCCTGAATTTAGATGAATCCATGAGCCAATGAATCAGCGAATCGATCAGTGTCTCACGGAGTGACAGTCCGATTCGTACGATATCTATTAGTGGGCCGCCACGGTAGTTAATGATCTCTCTGATACATGAGACTCGAACGATAAGCTCGCATTGACTGGCTCCAATTGACCATCTTTATCCGCAGATTTACGTGATCGACAGCGCGGATCAGAAACGCTTCGAGGAAACGGGGGTAGAGTTATACGAACTGATGCAATGTGATAAACTCGTCAGGGTCCCTCTCCTTGTATTCGCGAACAAGCAGGATCTGATGAATAGTGCGTCGCCCCAGGACATCGCTGACGGTTTGAATTTGAATGGCATCAAGGACCGCACCTGGCAAATTCAAGGATGCAGTGCCCTGACCGGAGAAGGCCTCAAGGTGAACATTGTTTCCGATTGTTGGGGAAAGTTTGCTGCATCGCCCTTGTGTGTGATTGTGTACATTCATGGAGCGGATCAGCTGGGATGGCGTTCTTTCATCAGGGAGTCCTTCGTTTTTGGGACGGTCCTCCCGAACCCCAGTCTGCGTGACTAATTTTCTCCCACTCATTCTCTTTCTGACGAGCGACGGTCGCCATTCTTATCTGCTGGATTCTTTTTTTTCCTTCATCTGGGCTCTCATTTATCAGCGCGCGCTCTTGGATATCCGGGACCGGCGGATGAATCAGCGAATTCCCTTCAGTGATATATTTTTCCTCCGAAAGGACGTCGTCCGGCTTGCGTTGATTTCCCTCTAGAACGATCTTATCCGGCTCACCTCAGACTCCGACAACAAATGATCGGACGAGAATGGTTCGCCCGAAGCGATACGTCGGACGGAGGAGAGCAACACCGCGTATGTTTTCAAGGCGAACGGTGAACAGCTCGGGAAAAGAGATTGGCCGAGCGGTCAGGAAGACTCGACCGCGAACGGAGTCGCATCCTGTTTTTCTACGTCGGAATCCTCAGGGGGAAAGAGATAAATGTCCCCACCGCATCGGCACCAGCGGAGTGAATTCCGCGATCCGACTGAGTGCGGGAGGATAAGGAATACGAGTTGAAAAGTTCATGGAAAGTGGGAAATCATTCTATGCGCTACCGATCTCCATAGTGTTCCACCCTGTCATTCCTATCCGAATGATATCAATGAGATGAGAACAGTCATTTACCCCCTCAAGACGATTTTAGCCTAGGAATCTTATGGCGCTCGCGCTCTTAGGGGCCTGCGAGGATCTCACGAGCAGCATGCGTCTCTGACGGTTTCTTAGACACGGCCGGAGGTTTCTGATGATGGTCATTCATGAGTTTTTTTTTCGAATCCGCGGCTTGCCCAACTGGAAGATGAGACTCGCTCTCCATTCCGGCTCGCCTCCTGGAAGGCAACTCGAAGTGAGCTGCCTGTTTGCGACTTCCGATTCCGAGGATTAGCTCCGACGCCCTCGATGGCCGAGTGCGCAACCGACCCTAAACATATGCTCGATAGAAGTTCGGGTCCTCACCTAAGATCAGACCGGCATTGATCTCGGGTTCTGAGTTCGAGCAGCGGATCGCGCTGTATTCCGACCGCATTCCGGAACTCCGCGAAACTCACCGGGAAACCCCTAATTCCAGGACGGCTTGGAATGGGTAATCAAAACGGTCAAGCCCATGACGAAAAGGTGAGGCCCATTCGCCGAAGTTGTGGAGAAGGACATCTACAGAATCCCCATGTATATATAGCGAAGCCTTCAAGATATCGTGACCTCGTCAATAAAACATCGGGACGAGACTCACCCGGATCTTCCCCTGAGCCGGATCTCATCGGATCGTTGTAATCATCGTGGCTTACATCTATTTTGGGCCAGCGAGGATATCTTTGCAACTCTCTCCATCATGAGGCCCTTCTTTCGGAAGAGAATCGAGTGAATAGCTCTTGGCCGCTACTACCAACGTCTTGTTCACTAATTGGATCGGCAACGGGACGAGAAGTCGGCAAATATCGTATGTTGGGGTTTCCAATCTCTGTCCACGGATTCATCCAGCCATAAATGTTCAGCCGATCCGTAACCAGGATGGGATTATGCGCTCAACACAAATAATTAACCCCGAATCTGTTCATGTTCCTCGATGTGTCGACGCTCCTCTTTCCGTTTGCTGTCGCTCGATGGGGGCTCCCGAAAACTCGTCGAATCTCGGGCAGTCTCCGCAACGATTCATATCAAACTTATCGGTAGTCAGATAATTCTGGAGCGCCGGTATGGCGTGCGTCAGCCACCTCCGACGATGACGGAGTGAGAGCTATTTCGGAAGCGTGAAGAAATTCGAGAGTAATCTCACGAAGCAAAATAACGTAGAATGGGTGGCGGGAAAGGGGCTTAAAGTTCTCGGGGAATAGCTTGCCGGTTAATTGGGGAGCGGCTGTCGAATCAAGCTTTTGAAATGCGAACATGTGGCGTGATGGAAGCCATGAAGCACTGGCCACGGAAATCCGCGACTGTCGCCGCTGCAACCTCTGGCGACGTCGCGTCGCTCCCGATTGTGTTGAAAGAAATCGAGAATTTTCACGCCATTCCCGTCTGGTAGCGATCACGCCGCAGCCAGAGTGTTGTGACGGCGCGACTTCCGTCGGTTTGGTTTACAAAAAGCTGCTGACGCATGTAGTCGTTGTACTGGGACGCGTCTCGAAATCGGTAGAGACGGTGGTTTCTTTAACCTTCAGACCAGCTGCTATGCTCCGACCACGCTCCATTCCCGCAGATATGAATTGCGTCGCAATATTTGTCCTTCTCCCATAATCATCAATCCTGCAGACACAGACGACGACGACGACGGCGGCGGCTCACAATACGTGAAGTGCCCATCTTTGTGAAATTCCACCGTCGACCATACCTCAAGGTCGGCACGGACCCTTCTCGAACGCTGCGGAGCTTACCTCGAGGAACAACTCGAACGAATGGGAAAAGCGTCGGAATTTGCCACGCTCGCTTAGCCGGAGTGAGATGAATTGCTCCTAAGTAAGACATGGTGTCAATGTAAGGTCTCGCTGTGATGACGGATATGAAACTATTGATTGTGAGCAAGGTCTGTCTGACTCTGAGTACTCATCAATCGGTTCATCCACGCGTCAATCGAGCAGCGTTGGGGGAATTTAATTATTTTCATGAAGCGAGCTTTGAACTGGCGTTCCTTGATGTTCGATCGACGGCTGGCAGGCCATGTGATGTGGAACATCAAGCAGTTAATCAGTAAAGTTCCCGTCGCTCCTCTCCGAGAACTCCAACCTGGATATATTCATAGGGGAACATTCTGCGAACGAAGTGACGGGAATCGATGGGCATCGAGGGCTTCCAGGAGAAGCAGGACGAGTGCGATCGCGAAAGCTGCACGTTTGTCTCATGGAACTTGCTCAACGAGGAAGGTCTGAGAGAGGTACCAATGGGTTGACTGACGGACGGACGGTCGAGCTCCTGGTGTGGACGTTTCTCTCCTTCCGTATGGGAAGGATATTGCCTCTTTATATTACATAAGCTAGCACTCCTGCGTCGGACACTCAAGCTCCCAACGTGTATATGAATGCTCGAATCGTTTTGTGCGCGAGCCGCCGAGCTCGTACAGGCCGACGCGCGTAGCCCTCTCCCGTATGTTGCCTTTATGAGAAGAACTCTTCGACGACAGATATATGTGTTTCCTGCCGTATTGTATACCGACCGCAAAACGAATTGGCAGGTCCCTCGACTCATCAGGAAGAGTTTCTTTCAAGCTTCGGCAAGTCCCGTCTTCCAACGAGACCGTGGTGACACTTGACGTTTCGCTATTCCAGTAAGTGGGGAAGTGACGAGATCCGAGCAGCTACCAGAAAACGCAGGATGAATTGATCGGGTTCTTTCCGCGGACTTATCAAACGCGGCACTTCGCTGGAACACACCGGCGTACCCGAGTGGGCCGAATGAATCATGTCCACCGCTTCAGCGGGAAAAAGTCGTTGCCGTTGGATCCACCGTAAAAAGCTCGTGTCTGGTACAGCAGGCGTATCGCTCGCCTGATCCTGCCGCGGCGCACAGCTGTCAGCTCCGCTTGCGTACGGAAGTTACATACATATATGTATGCAGTGCTACGCCCAGCCGTCCTCGACACCAGCAGACACCGACCTAAATCAGCGTCAGGCTGAATTTCCAGCTCAAACGGAAGTCTCACAGACAATTTGAAGATAAGATAAGCGGATGTTCAGTCTCGTGAACATTGTATGCGGGTTAACGGACGCACCCAGATCTCCCCGCGGTCGGACTTCACCGCAGCTCCGCTTCTGCAGGGGACGTCTTTTGAACTCGCAAAATGGTCTCGCTCGAAACCCATGAGCGCTTCGAAGCTCTGTGTGCCTGGGGTCGGTGAGACCATGGTATTTGCCCCGGATATACCGTGAATTACGGAATCCGGGGTTCTGGCACCTGGTATACCGAAAACCGCGATTCTTGCATCTAAAATCTCGGGATCCGGGAGAGTGAAATCCGGGAGTGCGGTACAGTGTACCGTGTACAGTGTACAACCGTTCCCGGGGGTTCCCGTTGACACGAAGTACGAGAGCGGTCTTCTCCACAATCTTCTCGAAGGATGGATGATATGGACGAGCTGAATCCGATTTTTTAAGGACAGGCACGCTCGATGACCCACCCCGAAGAGTCAAGCGAATAACGTTGTGGCACCATCGGAAGGAATATTCATCGGGAGCGAAATTCCCTGGCTCGATTCACGCCTAGCTTTTTTCTATGGCCTAGATGGCCAACATCAGAATCGATCTGACTCCTTCCTCCGTCCGCCAAGGCGCATGGCGATTCTCTTCCCGCAGAAGGCAGGACAAGGAAAATACAGAGTGAACTCCGAGGGGATGGTAGTTGAGAATCCTGCCGTTCCCTCGACTCTCTCACCCATCCGCTTGGAGAACAGCAGGAGAGCCTAGGCTAGCCGGCCCCAGATTAGCGGTCTCGCTCAACAAACGAGCTTCATGTGGTCAATGTAAATAAGCAGATCATGCACGGATCTCTGCAATATCCTCGGCTCGGCTATCCATAAAAAATGTAAAACTGTACAATGAGCTGCGTGGATGTCCACAACAAAAAGTAAAGTGATTTGCTCTCAATGATTCCTCCCAATGCCTCTGGAAGTGGATTCGGGTGTTGATCCAAATGTCGCGCCCCGGTGAGGGAATTTCATTCAGGTTAACTTAAAGAAAGTAGAGAGGAGAGTCTTGAGCCCTGGTACTGACGTCGAACGCCGTAACCAGGGATTTGCGCATTTTACTCTTTCAAGCTGACTCGACAGCGGGAAGTATTATAGAATTCGTCACACTCGATGGCCTGGGAATACAGGCATCAATTCCATTATTCACTTCTCGTCTTTTCTCTGAGAGTTCAGATTGATTTAAGGATGAATTGATGGATGATTACTTTTTCGAACCTTACCGGTCCTCGAACATTGTCCATCGGTATACCTGTGGAATTCATCTTCAAATCATGAATTGATAGAGTGATCTTCCAGAGAGAGCTGCTCTCCGTTGAACGCTGTTCGGACTTATCCGTCGCAAACCTTGAACTACCAGTCAGATGACTGAAAAAGTTCTACCAGCTTGGAGACCGACGGGAATTGACACACGAGCGCCGCGGATCGGGCCAAGCAAAACAGGGCAGGAGAACGATGCGTTCGCGGTGCCTCTTTTGCTTCCCAATGAGACACGGATACACAGATTCATCTGTCCGAGGGAGATTCACCTGTCGATCGAGAGTCTCGAGGTGACTTTCCGATGAGTTCGGATGCCCTCGTCCGACTCGGATCACGAGCGCCGAAAGCCTCTTCCGACTCCAGACCCCGGGTCTCTATCCTATTCACTTCAACTCGACGCGTTTCTCTCTGCCCGCAGCCGACCATCAGACATTCGAGGTCGAATCGGACGTTCCCTTGAAGGCTCTCGCAGTGGGTGGGCGAATCCATTCAACCTTTCAGAAGGGCAGAATTGCTGACAATGAGATCGTTCCATGCGAAAATTCCCCTCGCTCCCTTACGATGACAGAAAATTGCCAAGTCCTTCGTCGACTCACGGTGCAGACTCAGACTGGGCTCAGACGGTTAAAGTACTTCTTTGGGATCGGCCAAATCCTCTCAGATTCATGCCGTTAGGATCACAGGTACCTCCGGAGGTGCTCTAAACTTCGCATCCGCCATCTGTTCGAATGAATCAAGTTCTGGGAAAAACTCACCCTACAAGAATGGGCTCATCGGAGCGTAAGCACCGGAGAACAAAAGATTCCAGTGGAAAGATACACAATTCTCCTCGCGCACAAGGCTTTTGTTCCCCTAGCAGCGAGAATCGCGATGCAACAAAAAAAAGAGCCTCCTATCAAAATAGACGAACAGGAACCTGGGCGATTTCCCCAAGGAAAATGACTGGACCCCGTCCTAAATGATAAGATCGAGAGATATGAGAAGATCCTATGCACCAGACGATCCAGTCAGATATCGGTAGGCTGGAGAATTCCATGAATTCAGACTGCGCCAGCTGGATCGACGGATGTTCTTCTCGTGGGATCCTCCGAAACAGGTTTCTTGCATACTGCACCGAATGAAACATGTTTAGTTTTTCCTCGAGGTTATCCATCTTGGAACGCCTCCCCGTCGCCGGTCTTGGGAAGTTG